ACACACAACACCACTCCGTGTTGTGGAGTCGCTCTTTTGGAGGAGAGGCTTGGTCTGAGAGGTGCTGCGCTGCCCCGTCGCTCCCTCAGCTGCCCTTGGGTGGGTTGTGGGAGGCGCGACTGCCAAGAGGGCTCCGTGTCAGTTCAAGGGTTACTGCAGGCTTTTGGCACGGGGTCAGAAGCGGAAGGTGGATGTTTTTTTTCGGAGTTCTTCGTGTTATCCCTCCCCCCCCACCCTCCCGGCGGCAGTTTATCGTGAGAAATATGAAAGGATTAAGAAAGGGTGGTGAATGGCTCAGGAAGGTGTTTTTCTTTTCCTGCTCTGCGTGAGCACAGAGAGCTAATTCCATAATCCTGCTCCCTTCTCATTAGAGTGCTTTTCTAAGGGAGGGAGTAGATATTGGAGTGTGAATATCAAGGAGCAAATCTATCAAGGAGCTCAGGATAGTTTCCTCCCATTCTCTCTCATTGAAGTTGTGCCACTTCATTCTTCTGTGAGGAAATACTTAGTCCTCTTTATTGACTCTGAATTATACTCTGCTTTGGATTGGCTATACAGTTCTCATGAGTTTTTCTTTGGCAAAATTAGTGAATCCTTCTTCAGAAGTATTCTGTCAAGATTCAAAAAGGAGATGGTTTTCCCACCCCTTCAGCTTTGAGCTGGTTGACTTTACTAATAATTGCACATCACTACCATAATACTCAGGCAAAGAATAATGATTGATGTCAACACAGCTCCATACAAGGAGCAAGCACATGTCATTGCTTGTTCCCTTAATGAGTGTGAGGTTGGATGTGATGGATTGTTCAGATCTTGAATCTGGAAAGGATTTCGACTCACTAATAGGAAAATGATCTAGTTCTTACTGTGTCTTAAGTTGTCACTTTTTTTTTCATTGATTGTTTTCTTTTTTGTCTTCTGTCAAATATTGTCTGAAAACATCCCTCTGTATATTTGAATTTGCTGCCATGTGCAGGTCAGAAAATGCCACAGGACTCTTGGAGGGGATTTGTACCCAGTGTAATCCAAGCAAATTTATCTGTTTCTAGGGTCCAGCACTTAGAGACTTGCACTTTCAATTTTTCAAATGTTTTGAAAAAGCTGCACTATAAAACTCCAGTCATACAAAACCCCCCAAAATCAGCTTTCCTTCTGGCAAGTAGTTCTTCCAATTTCTTATGACAGTACATGTGTACTCACAAAATGAGGTAGTTTATGCAGATGTTAGTAAATTGTCATGGTGTAAAATATAAAGGAAAACTTCTTTAGCTGCTTTGCTTATGTTACTTTCCTGGCTGAAACATCAGGAAAACTGATATTTACTTCAATTTTTTTTTTAAATAATGTGATTGATGCAAGAAGTCAGTGTAGCAGCTTTACACATTAATGGAA